GGTTAGTTTCCTCCTTCTCTCTCCTCCCTTGAATCCCATAGCCCTCTTATTCCTTCTCAAATTCGTGACGTATTTTTAAATCCCTTTTTCTTCAAGTATTGTTGATATATATGCATAAATATATAAATACAGCCTGTTGAGTTTAGTGTTGCCTGTGTAAATGTGATTTTAAGCCTGAACACTTGGTGTTGGATACACAGTTAGGGGGCATATTCTAGGGAAGATTAATTCTCCCTTTCTGGACTCTCTTTTGTCCCATTCCAGGTTGGTATGTCTGTTGGTATTGCCATTATTCAGCTCTTGTTTGAGCAGCTATACTGTTGAAGTATCATGGGTGTTGTCTGCCTGTTATTTCTAGAAGATACAATCTCAAAGCAGACTTCCTTGTCCTCTGGCTTTCACAGTCTTCCTGCCCCCTCTTCTATCTTGTTCCAAGTCTTAGGTATAGGAGTTGTGTTGTAGTCGTATCCTTTGGGGTTGGACCCTCTAACTAGTTGTTCTCTTTATTTTGACCAGGTGTGGTTTTCTGTAATGGTCTCTGCTGCAAAGATAAGCATCTTTGGTGAAGGTTGAGGAATACTCTTATCTGTGGCTATGTAAGGATAAATATTTAGTATGCAGTTAGGAGTTATGCTGGTTTAGTGATGGTAGTGGGGGTAATATTGAGTTGGAAGTGTCACTACAACCCCTGGTCTGGGAATTGTCCTGGTCCAGACACCAATTCCCAGCCTGCCAAGTGCTTGGACTACTCTCAGCCTGCCAAGTGCTGACCCCTCCCCAGGGAGGGTCAGGACCACTCCCACAGGGTATTTAGGCTCCTGCCAGAAAAAGGAACATGTGGTCTTTGGGGTTTGCATGGGCTCCTCTTCCTACCATGCTGTCCCCATTCACTCAGGAGTGTGGCATTTATTAAATGTGGGCATTTTTTATTTGGTCTAATCTGGTTTGATTGGAATTCTTTGTGCCGGCAGAGAGGATCGTTTTAAGGATTATTTTTAACAGTGGGCTCTCCCCTGAGATCAACGACCTCACTAGCCCTGGGTAGTTGGCTAGATTTTCAATACCAGGCATGATAAGAATCATGTTGATTGAGCCGTAAGCATGATTAGATAGCTATTGATTACTGCCAAGATATGAGTGAGTGCCATTATTGCACCCTTAGGGATATCTTGCCATGTTGGTCACTGTTATGGTTAATAGGTATCACATCTGGTTTGGACTATTAATTGTTTCCCTCCCTTGTCAGTTTGCACAGCACCTTCTGATACTCCGAAAGCTAGTCCTCTGGGAGGATCCAACTCAAATCCTTCAAAAGTGCACGGTGTCTTCACCAACAGGGATTGACCTTCAACTTCTGAGAGATCACCAAGGGTAACAGCAATAGTTTATATTGTTTTGGGGGGTCTCTGGGACTTCTCTGACAACTCGGAAGACAGTTTCTCATATCCATCCCTGGGATCTTTGCTAGATGGTCTCCGGCATAACCAGCAAATCTTATAAGAAATTATTTTAAATGTATGATGTGAAGTGGGTATCTCAGGAGCTTTATTGGGATGGTTCTGTACAGGATAGTGAAGGCAATCACATAGCTGAATGTAGGTTAAATCTGAAGGGGTCTATGGAATATAGATAATACTACTTACCAACGTCACTTTCATTAGGTGTCATCATTGACAGGATTTTACCAATCAAAGAAGCTTTGAAAAGGGTGAGTGATACACTGAAACTGCTTTTGCAAGTACTTAGGACTCTTGAATTGTGTGTGTGCACGCACGCATGTGTGTGATTATGTATTCCCTCATCTGAATCAGTTTTCTAAAGTCTAAAACTTAGTTAGCAGTACTGGTAGAAAACACTGAAGAAATGGATTGGTTTGCATGATCATTGGTTGCACAAGCAACGAGTACCTGAGTTGAAATCCCCAGAACTGTGCATGACTGTAACCCCAACAGTGGTTGTGTGTGTGCGTGCACATGTTGATAACTGTCTAAGCTTCTGTGGCAAATGAAAAACGAGCAATTTAAAACTACTATTCTTTCTTTTCCACCTTCTGACATCATCAATCCACAAAGTGTAGATCACATGTCTTTAAGTCATTTACATTCTAATGACCATTCCTCAGTTTGATCATTTATTCAAAACCTCCCGTTTGCAAAGCACCATCCTAGGTATTCTGGGAACTCTCCTCCAGAGGTGGAGGACCAGGTACAGAAATAATAACATAATGTGGAAGGTGAAAAGTGCTCTGTAAAGTTGGGAAGATGAACTGGGAATTTATTCTGACACCTATAAACATGGGTACGGCTGGAAAAGGTGAGAATCGAGATGTCAAGGGGCTGGGAAGCCATGGCTGTGTCTTTCCATCAAAAGGAAGCTGTGTGTCAAGATTGACAAGGGTGGAAGCTGGAGAAAGACAAAGTCTGCTGTGCTTGAAATAAATCTTCTCCACCCTTAAACAAGTGTAAAGGAACGTGCCAGGAAAGAGATCACTCATCTAAGGGACTCTTGACAACATACGAGAAATGGACATTTGTCTGTGTCTGAGGTTAACAGTGAAAGATTTTTCCACAATGAATCTGAAAGCAAAATCTATCGAGCTGAATACAGAATCTGATGATAATAGATCTTTAAAAGTTTTACCCTTAAAACCAGGGGCTAACGAAATGGCTTAGTGGTTAAGAGGGCTTGTAGTTCTATCAGAGGATCTGAGTCTGGCTCCCAGCACCCACGATGGGTGAGTAGCTTCAGGGGTTCTGACCTCCACGGGCACCTGCACTCATATGCACATATAAAGACACCCACACCCTTATAAGTACATGATAAACATATATCAATACATGGATATAAGTGATGCGTAAATTTTGTTAAAGGAAGAGAAGGTAAACGTGAAAGGAGACAAGCTCTAGTCACTGCAAAGACCAGGAGAGAAAAGCTGCCCTGCTGGGGGAGGGGCAGCTGTGCTTCTTTGCTTCTTACTGAGAAATCTTTGCTGGTGAAATGTGTAATTATGTGTTTGGGGGCTTCCTACACTGGAAAAATATCAGCAACCGGAGTCGTAGCTGCTATGCTTAGCATTGGGTCAGGTAGTTTTATACCTTGATCTGTTAGTTTCCTCCTAGTTTCTAATAGCTTCCTTTGTTATGTTAATAGCATAGTTGAGACATCTCAAGGCTGTTTTATGGGGACTAGAAACCCTTAACACTTCTGTACTGGGTGACACACTTCACAGTTTCTCCCTTCTTCCTTTTTTCCTTTCCTTTTCTCTTCCCCTTCTCCTCCCCTCCCCTTTTCCTCTGCCTCTCCCCTTCCCTCACTTTCACTCTTCCTTCCTTTCTTTTTGAGTGTGCACAGGTACCACAGAGCACATGTGGAAGTCAGCAGACAACGTGCCAAAGTCAGTTCTCTCTTTCAACCATGTGGGTTCCAGGAATTGAACTCGGGTCATTGGAAAGTGCCAATTCCCATTTATGACGCATTTTTTAAACAGGAATATTTATTGTGTCAAAGAACTAATAATTCAGTTATTTAGTTTTTATTTACTATTCTTCTTCCCTAAAGATGTTTGGAATATTCCAAATGCAGATGCCATATTTTTTATTTTGTTATTTTTGCATGCTTCAAGGGCAGGCCAGTTATCTTCATATGTATGTGGTACTAGGAGTCTAGATATAGCTTCCTTGGATCTTCTGTTAAGGGCCAAAGTATTGACTGGGCTGAATTTTTATCTGAAGGCTCAACTGAGAAAAAGTCTACTTCCAAACTGCAAAGGTTGCTGGAAAAATCTGTCCCTGTGTGGTGGTAGATTGTCTCTCATTTCTTGAGGGTCCCCACAAGTCATTGTTTTTTGGACTTATCCATTGGCAGGTCAGAAAATGTCAGCTTATTATTGCAGGAACATCCTGAGGGACAGCCAGCAAGAGGGATTCTGAAATAATGTGATATAATTCAGGGAGTAACACCCAGAACTTTTCCCATATCTGTTTGTCATCAGGGAAATACAAATTAAAACTACTTTGAGATTTCACTTTATACCAATCAGAATGATAAAGACCAATAAAACAAATGATAACTCATGCTAGTTACAATTACATGTTACAATTACATGCTACAATTACATGTTACAATTACATGGTAATTGTAACTGTTAAGTAAATGTTAAGTAAGTTAAAGCACAGAGGTTAGGTATTGAGTAAGGGACTGGAGGGCAGACAGATCTCTCTAGGAGAGGGAAATAGAAGGGGGAATGTGTAGGGGTGGGGTGGGATTGGAACATGAGGATCAAGTGGGAGGGGAAGGGAAGAGGGAGATGAGGGAGGGAATACAGGGAAAGACAGCTAAGACTAAGGGCCATTGAGGGGAAGGTATGGAAACTTAATACAGTAGAAGCTTCCAAAAATATATATGAAGGTGATCCAAATGAAATTGTCAGATAATGGAGACAGAGTTGGACATCTCTTGGCACCAAATGAAGCTTCCAGTATGTGACGGGTTACGTCAAATTGAATCGTTGGCCAAAGGGGTTCCTTGGGAACCCTCAAACAACCCAGACTGTTGCTAAGACTTGTGCAAGGCCCTATTGCTGAAGACAACATCCACATAACTCACTGAACACTGAGAAGTTAGAGAAGTTAAGCTGTTGCTTACACAGAGCCTTCACCTCTATCTTCTAGTGTCTGTGGTACAAGAAGGTACTCTGTATGCTGCCAAAGAAGAAATGGAAACAGCACACCAGTAACAAACCATTTGATCTACAATGGTGTCCTTCTGGCTAGATATACCAGGGCAATAGTGCCACAAAGCTTGTGGGAGTAACCAACCAATACCTGATCTGATTTAAGGCCCACTCTACCAGATGGAACCCATAGCCAGCACTGCCTAGGTGACCAAGAACCTGAGACTAGATAGACCAGGGACCCAGGATAAAACCAAAACAAACAAAAACCCCATAGCAATAAAATGAGACCTAATGGCATTCTGGTATACTTACAGATCAATGCTTTGCTCAGTCATAATAGAGAAGCTTCCTCCTGTAGCAGATGGGAACAAATAAGGAAACCCAGATAATATGCAGAGGGGGAGAGACCTAGAACACTCAACCCTAAACGGGATGTCTCTATCAAATTCCCCCTTCCCCCCGCCCCAGAGCTCAGGGAACCCTGTGGAACTTGAGGTACAAAGAATGTCACTACCTTTAATTTTTCAGAGGCCATAACAACAACCAATCAGCAAAGTCAAGTAATTACAGAATATGAAGATGATCTGGAGAATCACTTGAGTTGAGGTGGGAGAGTTGATGTCTTTTAAGTTTCAACACTGGATGCTTTTAGGTACTTATGATGCATCCCTTGGCTCCTCTGGTATTCTATCAGTTGTGCAATCTGAGGTTGATGGGCATCTATACTGTTTGCATTTTGAGGCACTCGTGAAAAGACCATAAATGGAAACGGATCATGAGTAGCTGCTAATGAGTGTGTGTTGGTGTCTCCTCAACAGCTACCCTACCGCAGAGTCTCACCATCATGAACGACATCTTCACGGAAGCTGCATCATGGAGTCCTCTTTCTGTTGGTTGTCCACTTCTTATCTACTACAGCATTTCATGAGTCCACTTCAGTCTGAAGAGCTGGAAGTTTCTATCAAGCTGAAGGTAAAATGCTCATTGAAGTTCTGCTGGTGGACTCTTCGTAACTGAAACCATGATGATAGCTGTTGTGGCTGGAGTGTAGGTGAAGATGAACTTACATACAGATATCCAGGAGCAAAGACCAAGTAATCTCCATGACTGTGATCAAAGGACCCATGGCCCTGTGTGGGGAGAAACCATATTTTTGAGAAAATACAGATCTTTCTCTTTTTCTTGCATGAATTATATTTTAATAATAACTTTTATATCAGAAAAAAGGAATGATAAACAAGTTTCAAGGAAGTCAATTTTGCAATTGCCACAAAATGCCTTTTAAACCCTTACTGTTTGGCCCATCAATTCCATTTCTAGGAAACTGAAGGAAAACCTTTACTTTTCAAGATCATACAAGCAGAGAGTAAGATTTTTACAAACAGTGAAACATTGGAAGGTGCTTTAGTGAGCAAGAATGGAGAATTTAAATAGGGCATGTGAGCGCCTTGAAATTCTATTGACCAAAAAAAGCAAAAAACAAAAAACAAAAGAAACTCACAGCATGCCTTGTGGTACACTGAGAAGGAGCTGAACAACAGATGAAGTGTGATCTTTATATAAACAAGCCCTGTGAAGAAACATGCACATAAGGAAAAGGCTGAGACCTGAGAGCCTCAACTGCTCAGTTTGACAGACAAAAGAGAAGGGAGGGAAACAGGCTAGACATAGATATGGATGCAGTACCACCACTCTTTCTGTCACTTAAACAACAATAAAAATCAGAGACTGGGGAGATGACTCAGTGCATAAAGGACCTATGTTCAAATCCCCAGCACCCACATGAAGCTGGATGTGGTAGCCTATCTGCAATCACAGCATTCCTAGGGCGAGGTGGGCAGTAGATTGAGAGGCACTGCAGAAAGCTGGATGGCCAGCTAGCCTGTATTAAGCATCAGTGAGCCACAGAGAGACCCTGCCTTAAACAAACTGCAAAGAAGGAATACTGATGATCTCCTCTGACCTTCACAGGAATTTTCTGACACTAGTGCCCCACACACGCACATACACACACACACATACACACAATATACACACACATGTACACACACAAACACACACACATACACATACACACACAAGCACACACATACGCACGCACACACATGTATACACACACATACATACACATTTATAGTATCAAACACCGAAATTTAATATCTTTTCTTGCAAATTGATTTCTAAGTCAGTTGTCTGTCTGGTGAGAGATGTAAATAAGAAAGTCAGAACTCTCCACACTGCTTTTTTTTTCTTTTTCTTTCTTTTTTTTTTCCTGTAGCGTTTCTCCATCCTTGCTGGCCATACTTTCAATAGTCCTCAATCATTGATACTACTTTTCATTCCAAACCTAACTTTCTACCTTCTCTCTCCCAAAGCATTTCTTTTTCATTTTTTAAACTTAACAATATAACAGGAGAGTGGAGACTCATGAGAACTTGTGCTTAGGACTCAGAAGCATATGGAGGGTGTTTTTTGCCTTGTTCTGTTTACTTCTAGGAAAGATTCTAGTTGCCCTGCTTTCTTAGCAAAAAGATAAGCTGTAAGGAGTCTGCTCTCCAGTTGGGACCTCTTGTCACTTTGTGTTGTCAGGGATCTTTGCTGGTGTAATTGGTATGTTTTATGATAAACCCAGCTTTGTGGACAACACCAAACAACATTTTCTAAAACCTTCATTGTGCTTCTTTTTCATTGAAAAAAAGCAACAGAAGATCTTAAAAATTAATATAAAAATTAAAAATATATGGCTCAATCTGGGCCTCACATTTGATTGGGCAAATGTGTATATAAATTATACTTCAATCCAAAGGTATCACTTGCTTATTTTTAGTTTATGATTGCCTCAAATCGGCATACAGCCTTGTAAAAGAATATCCATGCAGTAGTCATTCATTCCATACACTCTATGAAATAAAACCCATCTTTCAGGCTCAATGAAGCTCAAAAGATCTGGGTCTTCCCTCCCATAAACGTATCACATTGCATTTACTGCCTAATAAAGTCTCAGAGAACAAGAGTTGCCCTTCTTCTCACAGCTTGATCCTTCACAAATTTACAAATGTAATGCTTTAACCTACTTGAACCCCACACTGGCTCCCCGAGGGAAGACGCTGGCACGTGAAGGTGTCTGTTCCCAGTTAGCTAGACCAAGTTAGCAGTAGTCAGTCAGGGGAGGCAGGCTCATGCCTAAGGGGTGCAGTTTGTCTCTACCGAAGGACTGTGTAGCTGGAGCTAATGAGGTTAATGCTTCAAGGTCACAGTAAGAAGACAAAGGGAGAAAGTGGGTACTGAGAAGGCGGGCAGCAGGGACTTGACACCAGAAGGCTGGGTCAGGGGCAAGGGCGAAGACTGTTATCAAGCTGGAGACCAGCACTGCCTGTAAGCCAAACAGATCAAAGCTGATAGGTGGGGACAGGTGACGTTGTTCTCCTGGAGTGTTTGTTGTTGCTCAGTCATCACATCTAGGGGGCATTTTCTCTGCAGAGCTTCTTGCTTTTGGCTCACCTTACCTAGGAAGGGGTTGTGACACCACACAGCCCCAGGACACATTACAGTAATGTTTGACAAGAATTTACTCCTCTAGACCCACCTAGGGACTAATAGTTTTAGTTCATTGTTTTTTTTTTTTAAAGTATAGCTTGGAAACAAACTCCCAAAGAATTAAATATGTAAAGAAAAGGAGCATCATAATCTTATATGTTACTTGAATGTGACCTTGGTTAAAACTGGAATTTTTAGAACAAACAATAATGTATTTTGAGTGCACAATTTAGAGCCTTCTGAACTGGAAACAGCAATACAGGAAGCTTATACAGGAAGTATAGGATAAGTGGAGAAAAGGAAAATCAGGAAATGACCCTCAAGATGACTCTGTGGATAAAGGTGCTTGCTGCACATGCCCTAAGACCTGAGTTCAATTCCCAGAACCTAGGTAAAGGTGGAAGGAAAGAATAAGTCCACAAAGTTGATCATATGTATGGCATGGCACATGTGTCCACACCTAGACATCATGTGCACACACATATGCAATAATAATAAACGAATAAAGAAAAAGAGAAACCAAAGAGGGCTAGATATGTACCAAGTTGGCAGAGTGCTTGCCTACTAGCAGGGGTGAGGCTCTGGGTTCATTCCCCAGCATGAAATATTAGAGTATCTTGGTGCACATCTGTAATCCCGGCAGTTGGAAGGTTCAAGGTCGACCTTTAAAGCATATGCAGTTCAGAAATTAGTGAGGCACTGTCTCAGTAAGAGGAGGGAGATGACAATGAAGAGCAATGTGTGCAGGAACAAAGGGAGGGGTCTTGTGGTGGGGAAGTGGGAGAATAGGATGTTCTTTCAGAAACCAGGGCATGTGTCTCACTCAGCACGAGACTCAAGAGGTGTGCTTCCATTCCAGAGGCTTGCAGCTTCTCCTTATATAAGGTTGGGTATTTTCTAAACTATCTTGATGTGGCATTCATTTAGTTAAAACATATTAAAGACTAAAATAATAAAAGCTGTTGTCTGGACAACTTAAGGAATTGTTTCAGTGCTGAAGAGAAAATGCAGTTATGAGCAGTAAGGGTCTAATGACACCAGCTCATCTGAGAATACAGACTCAGAAGGTGACACCAGTCTATCCTTGTCTTACCCATCTTCAGAATAAACTGCGGAAAACACTCAGCAAACTCCCAGTGACCTTGGGTTCACTTTTTCCATTTTCCAACAACTTGGCATTTTATAGAGAGCAAGCCATTCTAATCAAAATGCTGGTAGTGCTTTCTCAAACTGAAAATGTGGCCCCTGGAGACAACACTGCACAAGGGCCCCCTTAACCAACATTTAATCCAGGTGAAGAACCAAGGAGGGTGGCTTTCTATGGGCAACCTAAAGTCTCAGAGGAAATCAGTCTCAAGGTGAACTGTGGGGAGGGAGGGCAGGTAAGGGAATGGGGGTAGACTGGCGTTCATGGAAAACGTTCTCAGACAGCTCAATGTCCTGCCTTGTCTTTCACACAACTCTACTCCCTGTGATGTGAGATTTTATCTTTTAAACATGTAGGTGAACCACACCCACCACCTTATGAAACTGCTTTAGTACCAGAGGGTAAGGAGCTGAAACACAATCCATTCTAGGTCTGGGGATTAAAATGCTCGTTGGTTTTTTTTTTTTTTTTTTAGATGGCTCTGGAGATGTCTCTGTATCTTTGATGCATATGAAAAACCGTAATCCCCTCTTCTCCTCTTTGGCGAAGACTTAAACAGAAAAGCCTGCCAGTGAAAAGTCTGTTTGCAGTGGTAATGTGCTTGCGTGAACATTTTGGGAAATATTTGCTTATTCCTCACAACAAATATTTGGCAAAGCCACTAAGTCTAAAATAGTAGCTAAAACCGGCATGGAGGTATTGCAGAGGCAAGCTGTAAATAACGCATTTCAATGCAATGAAGCACTGAGCATGGAGTTTACACTGGAAGTGTAAAACACACGTTTCCAAGAGAAGAGATAGAAATATAGAATCACAGACAGTTTGTAATTAAACATAAACATGAGTCATGCCAAAGACACTCTTGTTTTAAGCCCTGAAGGAAGAATTTCTTTGTATCAAAGCTCTACTAAGAAGAGTAACTTTTCCTTACCTTGTTTAGAAAGCTCTGTGTTGTAGTGGGGTATTAACATGGCCCAACACCAATCTGGTCAGAGGGCTACAAATATTTCATCTTTACTCAGATCTCTATTTGAACTCCAATTCCTTCACTCATTAATTTTGAGACCTTGGGATGAGTTTGTTTTTGTTTTTAACCCCAGTGAGCATCCCAGTCCAAAAGAGGACAATGACATGGTGCGATTAACTTATTCAGAGCCTCAGTAAATTGGGACTACCAACAGGAAATGGCTTTTGTTTTTGTCTGCTTTTTACTTCTAGAAATGTTTGGAAGGAAAACAAACCTACTTTTCTCATTCAAGACCCAGAGCCTTCCTTCATAATGTTGTGTCTCTGCGTTTAAACAACTGAGGGACTAGGAATACTACTCTCCCTTTGTGTTCAGATACAGTGAGGCTAGAACAAGCAAAATAACTGAACTGTTTAGTTCAGAGAAGAGTCTGCTTTAGAAATAACTAACTAGTAAGGATTGTTATAGAAGATAAGTTGATCAACTGAACAACTAGCTGATGATTGGCTGACAACTTGAGGACCTTAGTCTTGATTTATACTTATCCCATGCTATCACGCCATGGCCTAATCTCACTCACTGGCTCCACCTCTGTCTTGCAGCATCTGCTCTGAAGTCACCAGCCTCTGTTCCACTCCCTTTCTAAATTCCCCCACTTTGAGACCCTGCTGAAACTCTATTATGATAGTTCTCTTTCAGTAGATCTAAGAAACAGCTCTTGGCTTTACTAGTCGATATCTTGGAGTTTAAACAGAATTAAGACTCATGTTCTTATCTCCAATAATGTGTGATTCTTCCATTGCAGCAGGCATCATTGGAATCTAAAATTTACAGATTCAATGCAATGCCCACCAAAATCCCAGCAAAATTATTCACAGACCTCAAAAGAACAATACTCAACTTCATATAGAAAAACAACAACAACAACAACTCAGAATAGCCAAAACAATCCTGTACAATAAAGGAACTTCTGGGGGCATCATAATTCCTGACTTCAAACTCTACTACAGAGATACAATACTGAAAACAGCCTGGTATTGGCATAAAAACAGACAGGAGGGCCAATGGAACCGAATCGAAGACTCAGATATCAATCCATATATCTATGAACACCTGATTGTTGACAAAGAAGCAAAAAAATATAAAATGAAAAAAGAAAGCATATTCAACAAATGGTGCTGGCATAACTGGATATCAACAAATAGAAGAATTAAAATAGATGTATATCTATCACCATGCACAAAACTCAAGTCCAAAGGGATCAAAGACCTCAACAGATAACCAACCACACTGAACCTCATAGAAGAGAAAATGGGAAGTACACTTGAACACATTGGCACAGGAGACCACTTCCTAAATATAACCCCAGTAGCACAGACACTGAGAGAAACTGGTGTGGAAGGTCCTTCTATCTATGTGTTGCTTTCATTGGTTAATGAATAAAGAACTGCTTTGAGCCTATGGTAAGGGCAGAAAAGAACTAGGTGGAAAAAGCTAGGCTGTATGCTAGGAGAAAAAGGGCAGAGTCAGAGAAACACCATGGAGCCACCGCCAGAGATAGACATGCTGAAACCTTAGCCAGTAAGCTACAGCCATGTGGTGATACACAAATTAATGAAGATGGGTTAAATTAAGATGTAAGAGTTAGCCAATCAGAAGCTAGAGCTAATGAGTCAAGCAGTGTTTTAAATAATATAGTTTCTGTGTGATTATTTCAGATCTAAGCTAGCTGGGTAGCCTGAAATGAACAAGAAACCCCTTCTCCAACAAATTGGTTCTCCAACGTGATTGACTATATCCACGTAAAATCTGAGAGAGCTTGAAAAGGAATTCTAGATACAAAAATAGACTTTAACACACCTTCTTGCTGTTTGCTGGCAGTGTGGTGCAGCTCCTTTAAGAGAGGTCTTACTGATTCAGTGGTAGCAGCCTTGCAGGGCAGCTTTCTGGCCATGGGCTGTGCTAGCATGAACTCTGACTCTTTCAGGCTGGAGGTCTCACTGCAGAGCATTTGAGTGGGGTTTGTGAGCAGACTGCTGTAGCTTGCTTAATGGCAGCAGAGACCTGCTGTGTGCCTAAAACTGGAGCAATGTGCATGGCTTGTAGAGGCAGTGAACAGACTTCCACCATGTTGGACTGTGCAGAGTGAGCAGGAAGTACTCTATATATCATAGTAATGGTGCAGCTTAAGCTTTAGACTGGGTGGGCAAGCAAGCAGTACCATATATACCTTAGAAATGTTGCAGCTTAGATTCTTAAGCACTTAGCATTTTAAAAAGTGCTCCTGGACAGTAAAGAATTACAGATATGCAATATAGTCAAATCAAAATGAGTCATAGTGTTGGATAAATGTATGTAGGCTTGGAAGAGAGAAGAAAAGGAATATAGAGAGTTATAAAAAGGGTAAAGTCTTTAAAGAGACAGAGTACAGATAGTCGTAGATTAAAATGAATAAATAAAATAAAAAATAAGCCACATAAAAATGGAAAATTCACAGAGAGTCTGGATTATGTATATTATTGTGTTACCTTTAAATTTTTTGACTGTGAAGGAGCTAAGTACAGAGAGACATTTCTTTGTATGGGCTGCTAGGCTAAACCATCATATGTGTTCTAAAGGTAGCATGACTTCCAAACTTGAGTCTAAGGATATGTTGCTTTGGAACAGAGGTTCTTCTCTTATTTCCACAGAGGATGAGAGTCTGTGGATTGCTTCCAGACTGGTGTGGTTTGATGAACCAAAACCCCCTGAAAGGTTGCCTTGAACACCTCCAAAAATGAAAGACTTGATTAACAGTGCCCCCATATGACAGGAAGCAGTTTGGATGAAAGTACGCCCATATTCCCAAATATTGTTTGTAAATGTTTCTTTATATTGAAAGCAGAATATGATATAGAGATGAATAATTTGCTTTGGTATGGATCTTGTTTATTGATACAAATTTAAGGTCAATTTTCTTATATGTATATGTATTTCTGATTTTGATTAAGGTATTGTGTTTTTGTAGCTCATTTAAAAATGTAATGCATAATTAAGAAATATAAGTTAATAGATATTCATTTATAATAGTCAAATTTGTAGTCATGTTAGTTAGATTTTCTAGATGTATAGAGATATATTTTAGTTAGATCAATATTCTTCAAATCTTTCAGAGACCTTCAGTATGTGGCATTTAAAACGTTTAAGAACTTAAGACTTTTCATGACAACGAGACACATCTGCTCCTGGCAGCACCAATTACTTCAAGAGGAAGATGGGCATCGAAGAGGCCCTTCATAGAGTTTGATAGCCATTTGGGCAAGAAACTGCTCTTACCTGGACTGTTTGTTAACTGGACATGCAGGACCTGTAGAGAAATGACTGCTGAACTTGCCTAAAGGTGAGATGGTTCTTTGGAGTTTCTGATTCATGAGCGAGTCTGTCAGACATTCTGCAGGACACAGAAAAAAAGTGACTGAAAACTGCCAATATAGGCAGAATTGTCCTTGAAATTTCCTGCCTTGTAGAAATGTCAGGGGGATACTATGGGACTGTGGGCTAAAGATTGATACCTCAATGGTACAGAAGAACTTTGGGTCACTGTCCAGGTAGCAAGATGTCTCTGTCAATTCTAGAGTTTTGGAAGTTGTTTACAATGCAATTCCTCTTTAGTTAGGTAATAGTATATCCTTGTAGGGTCTTTGAGGAGTTGAAGAGTAGATTGTAATAATATAGTTTTCCTTAGTTATGACAAAAGATAAAGAGATATAAATATTGTAATTGTAATTCTTGCTTGATGACAGTTATATGTAATTTTACTATATTAAAGTTAAAGCCTTCCTTGTTTAAACAGAAAAGGGAAAATGGTGTGAGAAGTCCTTCTGTCTATGTGTTACTTTTATTGGTTAATGAATAAAGAACTGCTTTGAGCCTATGGCAAGGGCAGAAAAGAACTAGGTGGGAAAAGTTAGGCTGTATGCTGGGAGAAAGAGGGCAGAGTCAAAGAGATGCCATGGAGCCACTGCTGGAGATAGATATGCTGAAACTTTAGCTGGTAAGCCACAGTCACGTGGTGATACACAAATTAGTGAAGATGGGTTAAATTAAGATGTAATAGTTAACCAATAATAAGCTAGAGCTAATGAGCCAAGTAGTGTTTTAAATAATATAGTTTCTGTGTGATTATTTCAGGTTGAGCTAGTCGGGAGGCGAGGAATGAACAAGTGGCCTACTGCAAGAAATTAGTGCCCAGCAGGCCCTCCTCCTACAAGAAACCATTAATAAATGGGACCTCCGAAAACCGAGAAACTTCTGTAAAGCAAAGAACACAGTCAACAAGACAAAATGGCAGCCTACAAAATGGGAAAATATCTTCACCAATCCCACATTAGACAGAGGGCTTATCTCCAAAATATACAAAGTATTCAAGAAATTGGTCATAAAAAGAATAAATAACCCAATAAAAAATGGGGCAAAGACATAAACAAAGAGCTTTCAGCAGAGGAATCTAAAATGGCTGAAAGACACTTATTGAAATACTCAACATCCTTAGTCATCAGAGAAATGCAAATCAAAACAACTCTGAGAATCCATCTTACACCTGTACGAATGGTCAAGATCAAAAACACCGATGACAACTTATGCTGTGTTTTTGTTTTTTTAATCTGTGCCTTAAAAGTAGATGCTTAGCCATTGACCTGGCTAGGCACTATTTAAGGTTGTGAAGTTTATATATGCCAGTACAAATGGGGGTCATTTCTCTTAACACTTTCCATGATACTTCTTAAAAACCATTGCCATATTGGGAGGGATCCAAAAGGCAGAGTAAAAAATATTTATAGCATATGAGTGTAATGAAAAAAATGTAATCATGCACCAACAATACACTAAACTGGTAGGACACAGTTTACATTAGATCATAAGAATGAATATCAAAAATACAGGCGATGTTTTTGAAAAAAAAACAACCAGCAGTAAAAAATTTATTTATAATACAAACCAGATACTCCAAAATAATTTGTGGTTTACTTAATTCTTACCGTTCATCCTATATTCTTTTGAATAAGCTGAGGGAAGGCACCCGAGTAACTACCTCAGCTGGTTTTGATTTTGATTCCAGAGTTTCCAGTGAGATGAAGACTCTAGTCTATGTAACAGAAAGAGATGGCATGTTGTTTTTAGAAATTTAGATTCCCCACTCAATATAGCTACTTATTAAAAAAGAAATGTATTACAATAAATTTCTATATTCCAGAATTATCTTATTATTTCTGGGCAAGCAATAATTGCACAGAAATTCCAAGTAGAGCTGTCCCCCTGTATGCTCAGCAGTGTATACTCACAGAAAATCATTACAGTAACAAAACCAGCTGCGTAGAATAGAAAGTAAATGATTTACAAGGTTACTATGAGAAACTACTTTACTTCGTATTATCATAAAAAGAACAGAACTGAATATTTGCATGACAAATTGAAGAATCCAGAAATTCCAAGTGCAACTTGGCTTTTAAAACGAAGTTAAAAAGATACTAAGGCTGGAAGGTGATCTAAAAAAAGCCTACTTCACTAAAGAACATTTAAATTTGAGAAGTTATCATTTGCCCAACAGTAGAGATAGGGAACACTACAAGCAGGAATCTAAATACTTGGATAAAGCGTGTTCCCATTGTAAATGTTGAAGACGTTAAGAACGCAGTGTTAGTCTGAACTTTATTTCACTTAAGCAGAGAAGTAGAATGCATTTTTGTTCCTAAATGAAGCTTGACCCTGAAATTTGAACCACACCAAAACCCTTAGATGTCTGTGTTTTAATGTGTTTTATATATTTATCAATCAAAGCATCTGCCTGCCAACAGTGCAGTTCAAGAGAACTGGCCCTCTTACATCCCGACTCAGCTGGGAAACCAAGGCCTTCACTAACTCAGAACCCCAGGTCTCTCCCTCTCCCCAGACAGGGCCACGGGGCGTGGAACCATAGCTTCTAGGATGGCCTGCACCAGGAACAAGAGCTTGGTTCGTGAAACTCCATCTCAGCCGTGAGTGAAAGCTGAAAGCCAAAAGTTAGTGCTGTGGGAGTCCAGACAAAACTAACAACCATCGAGAAGAGGCACAGGTCAGAAACAGAGGAGAAAGAGGAGGTGCCAGGAGACAGTGGGTGGAGCGAGGGGTGGGAGGTGGGGAGACGAGCCACATCAAAGGTGGGTCAGCCAAGCCAGGCACGAGTTTCTGCTGCTTAGACCCTCACGCTCTAGCTCAGGTCTCCAAAATGTGTAACTCAGGATTGCAATTTGGTTTAGGCAACCGTGAAATTTCTTGTGTCTGATTTTACTTCACTTATATCAATATAATAAAACCATTCTAAACAAATTAGTAGCTATAATTCTCTGGTTCCTGGAGCTAAAGAACCTCTAATTATATACATGTGTGTTAATTATACATAGCCTATACAAAGCATAACAATAGATTATTATGTAATTATATACAATACATTCATAAATTATAACATAATAGTTTACTATGGAGTATTTATAAAATTGTAATGATATAGTAAACATGTAGAAATTACATATAGTATGTATGTTTTATATTATACTCTATGCTTATAAAATTAGAGGTTTTTATATATGTCACTAGCTCAAGAGAAAGGTCCCAGAACACAAACTTTTATGACTGAGAGGCAGAACTGGAGTCTCTTCTAGAAGCTGCTGCGTTAGCATTCTCTTTTGCCCTTATCCTTTTCTTAAAGAGGCTACAAATACAAGATACCCAGTGAGTTTAACATTGGGTACACTGGACGAATACGGAATGTATTTAAAGCGCAGTTGAAGAAGTACATAAATGAGTGCAGTGGAGCAGCTTTTGGTTTCTGTTTACACCCCTTTGCACCATTTGTCACGGCAACACTACGCAGTGATACACCAGACATGACACCGCAGAGGCCCCACACTCCAGACCTTGGGCTTCTTCTGTGGTGTCTTTGTTTTGCAAACGTAAACATCAATTTTTCCAATGATGAACAGTATTAAGTGAGGCTGACTGGCTGAAAGAAGATGAGGACCAAAATATCGGTTTGGGTGGTATACAGATATGGGATGAAGACAGGAAAACCTCATTGGGGCTTGTTCAAGAGAGTCTGGGGAGACTGCAAAAGCATGGGCAAGTCTGCCAAGAATGTTTGCTCTTAGGAGAAGGTAGCTACAGAGGATGAGAGATGGGGCACATGTGAGCACGCATGCGCACGTGTGTGTGTGTGTGTGTGTGTATGTGTGTGTGTGTGTGTGTGTGTGCGAGCCTGTGTGTGTGTGTGCATGAGCGTGTGTGTGTGTGTGTGCGAGCCTGTGTGTGTGCGTGAGCCTGTGTGTGTGTGTGCATGAGTGTGAGCATGTGCGTGTGTGTGTGTGTGTGTGAAAAAAGTTCAAGAACAGTGCTGGTTTTGGTTTTTCAAATGCTGTTGTATTTTTCCTTTTTGAGACAGTTTCACATTGGTTTGCAACTCGCCGAGATAAACAGGCTGGCCAGAAAGCCCTGGAGATTCACACAGACCTGTATCCACCTCTCTAGGACTGGAATCACAGGTGACTGCCACCATCTTTGTTTGTGGGGATTAAGAGCTTCATGTCTGCAAGACAAGGACTCCACTGACAGAGCTCTCTCTCTGTGTCCTCTTTCTTTAAAAAAAAATATAAGTGTTAGAGACTGCATTTTTTCTATGAGATTGAATCAGTAGAATAATAAACCCTTCAAGATGGGGGAAAGAGAAAGAATAACTTCAGTTGCCAACAGTTGGAGAGGAAGGAGTGTGCCCCATGGCCTGCATGCATAAATTGTCCTCAGAGGGGAATGCAGACAGGTGCTGGTATTCCTTCGTGAAATACACTACTATTCCTGCAACACAGAAGGGGCACTGATTTTGTAATGGACCTCACTAAGTAGTTCTTACCACAGTTGTAATCCAACAAGAGCCTAGATATTTTTCTGTTATGCTGTCAAAATTGAACTCAATTCACACGCACTTAGTTCTCAGGACAAGGTCACTAGAGTTATCAAGTTTTGAGCATCTGTAACATTTAGTCCTAGCCTATGACTAGGAACAGACAGAACCCTCCCGTCACCTCATGCCAACATAGAAAGCCCTTCAAGTCCTTGGGATCTGGCTATCACTCCACTTAGCTTATTATGCAATGTCTCTCATGCTAGCAATACTAACTTGGGTCACACAATCAGGTGCTAGATAAGAAATGTGTGGCTATTGTTCTACATATGTGCCAACACAATTTCTATTGTGATCCCCATTTCTCCTCCTGTCAAATCAGTCCAGAAAAATGCCAAATTGGATACATCCAATTATTCAGGACTTAAAGCATAAATAATAACACAAATGTAGTTTTAGGTAGTTTCTTTCTCCTTATGCTCTTTGGAACTAACACTAAGGTTTATGTCAGGGCTGAAGCTGAGGGCTCAGGTAAAAGCTTGAATAACAAGTGTTTGCTGGCATCTGTCCCCACAGGTAGAAGGAAACTCACTGTAGTCAGTCTCTGTTCCTTGATTCATATCCTGTGAATTTTACCAATCCCAGCCAGAAGGGTCCTGTATGTCCTTCTGTGGGGGTCCCTGCAAGGACCAGCAGTGAATTGATCCACAAGGAGAAAGGTAGGAAAACACAGCTCAGCCAATTTATTCAGTGCTGGATCAAACTCCTGGAGTCTGTTGCCAAGTGGTTTATTACCAACATTTATAAACATAGTTTTGAAAAAGTTACCTGGTGTAATACAAGCCCTGATGCACTGAGAGGCATAATTATGTTTAAACTTAACTCAAAGTACATGTCATTTCTTCTAAGAAGATGGGTGCTAAAGACAGATTTTCTGTGTTAGTTTAAGGGCCTAGGGAAGGATCTAGCATGACCTTGGTCATCCAGATAGGATAGAAGTCATTGGGGCTATGAGTCACCTCTGGTACTGGTTGTGGGAACCTGGGAGAGCTCCTGGCTATACAGATGATGTAAGAGCCAGTTTTACTACTACTATTCACCTCTGGTCCTGGTTGTGGGAGCTTGATATGGCCCGATCTTACAGAAAATGCAGATCATCAGGCTGTTAATTACTTTCAATTCCAGACCTTCTGGGTGGGAAACAGGTTATCTGTCCTTCCCTTTGAAAGGACAGTCCTGCACGCATAACGTTCCTGGTTTTCCCAGTGGTCTGTGGGTACAAGAACCTTTATGCTCCCAACACCCAGTAGCTCTCTCTCCATCACTTTCACAACTGTGGGGGAGATGAACTATTCAGAGGGTCTCCTGTGAGACTCAGCAGGACGCCTCAAACCTCTACAGAGTCTTAACATTCTACTCCACCAATACTGTGGCTGCCTCAAGCAAACATGGTACTTGGGATTGGGAAGCTACCATACTTGATTTGCTTTCAAAGTCCTTTCTGGGATGCAAGATACTGTGAACTTTTTAAAGCCTACATTTATCTGGAGTTTCATTAGTTTGCCCATCTGTGAGCTCATTTTATCTATCTATCTATCTATCTATCTATCTATCTATCTATCTATCTATCTATCTATGTATCTTGATATAGATATCTTGATCTTTATCAATCTATTCTTTACCCTGTGCCTCTTTTATTAATTACATTCTCTGTCCCATCCCCAGACTAGATCTTTCATGGAAGTACAGGCTGGCCTTGAACTTATTCACCGTGTAGTAAAAGGCAATCCTTTTGCCTTGGCCTTCACATTACTTATTGCAAAACTCTGGCCATTACCTCTTTTCTTATTGTCTGCTTTGATATAAAAAAGTGGGAACTGATTCTTTTGTCCACACTGGCTTTCCTTATCTGAGACTCTAAGCATAGCTCACCTTGCACTGGCCTGAAACCAGAAGGTCACAAGACACTGCCAATTACTGGGAATGAGAGAGGTATAAACGGCATAAGCTGTTATCAAGTCATTATCAACCTTATAACTGCATGAGCTTGTTAAGGCATGTGTTTCCAAGAAAGCACCGGGTTTACCTTCCCAGAATACATTTAAATTTAGCCTCAGTTTATGGTGTTTCCTTTGGTTTGCAACAGACATCAGTTTCAGTCCATCACAAGGATTTATCTACGTAGCCACCGAGTTAGGTTTTGATTCTGT